AAGTATATTGATGTCTTTCAGTTGTGTATTGAAGAGTAGTGGACATTACATGGACTGCCAAAAGAGTACACAAATATGTTTTGGAAAGGGTGTAGCCAGGGTCCTCTTTGGAAGCAAAGATGGAAAAAGCTTCGCCTCACATACTTTAGGCATAGTGCTAGGAGAAGCTATTTCTTGGAAAGCATCATGATACTTAGAAAGGTAGATGGCCAGCAAATGAGAGGAAGATCTTCAACCAGGTAGACGGACATTGTTACTGCCTCAGTGAGCTCTAATGTGCCAGGAAGTGTGAAGATGGCTCAAGATAAGACAGGGTTCAGAGTTCTTGATTATAAGGTTGTGATGGGTTATACTTAACTTGTTTGGCACCTGACAGCAACAACACCACTTTCAGCAATAACTATTACTCCATAGAGTTTTCAATTACTAGTTTTAGGAAGTATGTTGTTGTGTGCCCTCAGGTCAAAACAAACTCATACCTGACCCTCCAGTGCATTAATTATGTATGCATAGAGAAGTGTAATCGGGGTGGGGGGTGGGGGGAAGGGACGTGGGAATTGTATACTAATGAAGGAATTATTTTTTCTCTCTCTTCAGAGGGGGAAGCGAGCTGGTGGGGGGGGGGCAAGGAGAAAATTGCAGCCATGAATGAATGGAAATCCAAAACCTCTAAAAAAATTAAAAATTAAAAAAAGGGATTAAATTGTACAGAAGGAGATTTTCCATCATTCTTCCATGAGGTAGTTGGTGAATTCAAACTGCATGCCCTTGGGATTGCAACACAATCTCTAAATACTTCTTCCCAATCAACTCTGAGTGGATTTGAGCTCTCATTTAATTGTTTTGAAATTGCAATGAGAAAGGAAGACATTAGACATGGGAAAATACAAATCAGTAGTGGCCAATGCATGCATTGGTTAATATAAGAAGTAGATTAATAGTAGAAATAAATGAATAAATATGCCCTGACAATCAAAAGAACATAAACAATGGATAAAATCCAGTGGGACATGAGCCATATGGATAAATTCATCTCTGATGTGAGTAAGTAATCTGAAATAAAAACCAATCTTTAAACAAGAGTTATCTTTGAGATAGACTAAATAATAAAAATACTTCCAAGAGCGGCTTGATGACACTTCATTTTGTGATGTCATATTGAGTTATTCTGTTGTTGTTGTTATGTGCCGTCGAGTCGTTTGCAACTCATAGCGACCCTATGTACAACAGCCCTAAACCCTGCTCAATCCTGTGCCAATCACACTGCCTCTGACACAGGCATCCCGATTACCCCAGTCACTGAATCAATCCACCTCATAGAGGGTCTTCCCCTCTTGCGCTGTCTCTCCCCCTCCCAAGTATGATGTCCCTCTCCAAGGACCTGTCTCTCCTTACAACATGTACAAAATATGTCAGACGAAGCCCCAGCATCCTTGCCTCCAGGGAGCAGCCTTGTTTAACTCTCTTTGGGATCAATCTGTTTATTTTCTTGGCAGTCCATAGTACATTCGATACTCTTCTCCAGCACCACAGCTCAAAGACATCAATTCTCCTTCTATCCTCCCTAGTCATTGTCCAATTCTCTGATGCATAACAAGTGATTGCTACATAAATAATCTCAAGAGAATTCCAATCAGATTTGAGAATGCTATTAACCACATACTTCTAAGAATTCTCGTGAAGAGACATAAACAATCTTAAATTCGGATTTGTTCACTTAGTTGTTAAGAAAATTTAAAAAAACAACAAAAAAACCAACAAACCATTTTTTCACTTATGCTTTGGTCCTCAGTATGTCATAACATACATTTGTAAATCCTAACCCTGGTATATTAAAGTAGTTGACTTTTAAGTACTCTCTGAGTGAAGCCTACCTTATGGATAACAAAATGAAATATTGTTGGACCTATGACAGCTTCAAAATCACTAGTATCTTTTATTTCGTTGTTGCTACATTTTTGTCTATCTCATAGAGCGTACCGCAAATTTCACCATTGATAATATTTTTTGCTCTATAATTTCTGAAAAACGTTTCAGTTTCAGCTTAGAAGACCTGAAGAGCATAGGATGACATTAAAAACAAAAACATCTATATAGATTTTTATAATCAAAATAGTATGTTTCAATTATCACACAGTAAAGTTTATAAAAGTTAATTATAATATTATAAAATATTTTTAAATACCTTTACATATATTGTTAATGTATTTTTATCTTTCATCACATATGAAGGGGAAATAGAACTGGTAGTTTAGTGTTAAGGAATTGCACTGCCAATTCAGAGGTACATGGTTCAAATAAACCAGATGCTCCGTGGGAGAAAGACAGGCAATCTCCTCCTATGCCATTAACTTCCCCTAAAAACCTGCTGGAGGATCAGCTGTCAGTTGATTCTATATAATGAAGGCAATAACGATCTCTATATATTTGAATATTTCTATCTATATATATCTATGTATCTATAGCGTCTGTTTATCTATCTATCTATCTTCAGGAGCTCTAGTGACCTAGTGCATAAGGAGTTGTACTGCCAAATCAAAGAGACTGTTAAAATCCATGAAATATTTATTCTGCAAAAGAAAGATGTGCATTCTCCTCCCACATGGTTTAAAACCTCTGAAAATCTGTCAGGAGGTCATATATGGAGTCAGTTTTAACTGCATAGCACAGAATCTGTATATACACAAGAAGGTTAAATAGACTCATTAACTATCCATATTAATTAATCTACTTGTGAAAAAATTGCCTTAATATTAAAAAGGATGGGCAATCTCCTCGCATGTGATTAACTAACTGCCTCTGAAAAACTATTGGAGGGTTCTGACTCTATGGTACACAACAACATGACAAAGAATACTATTTTTAAAATGTTCAAGTAGTTACACATAAAGTATGAAAGACTTTTCAATAATTTCAAGGTTTGAGTCTTCTGTTCATTAATTTCCCATAGTAACAATCACCAATAAGAGAATGGAGCAAGACATTTGAGATTTTAACCCCTTTTACTTGACAACATCTTTTTCCCCCCCTTTTTTAATTTTTAGTTCTTAGAAGTAGTAAAAATAACTTCAAATCAGGTTATATAGAATACTTTGTCGGATTGTGGATTTCACACAAAACCAACTTTCCCTACAGCTAGATTTCAGTGGGAAAGAAAATATATGCAACTTGGGTGATTTAAAGTTTCATTTATGAATATTTACCTTAAACCATAATAAGATATTTTGTTCTCTTTTCCCCCTGAGAGTCTGTATAAATTGTTTTCTCTCGCTATTAACAAAGAATGTTCAATAATATGTAATTATGTTTAAGGGGACAAGCAGACTTAGGAGAAATATCTCTAAAGAAGGTTGTACATTTAAATTAAGTCTCCTTGCCTTCAGAAAACACTCTGAGCCTCCATGAAGAATTCACTAAGCTGCTCTTAACCACTTGGATCTTTTAGTCCTGGATAATATGCATGAAGCTGTACTACTCCTTTCTCTTCCTTCTTCATAGATGAACAAAATGAATGTCCCTTAAAATTTCTTAATGACTTTGATACTCTGCATGGCAGATTCAATCACTATGCATTAGTAGTGTCACATTTTAGTCTGAAATGTGTACAGTTGACTTTTCTGAGCATTTTTTTTCCTTTTTAAGAAGAGCATTTCCATAACGCACGTGTCTCAAATAGGCAGCTGTATTTTCCACACTTCAAGGATCAGCTTTAGCATTGGAAAAATAAAGAAATGGCAATTTTATTATTTTTTGTCTATTGTCAGTTTTCCTTTGAAGCATCAAATAGGATATTGATATTTTTTGGCACTTAAGTTATTTACTTACTGTGATTTAACGAGCCATTATAAAGTGAGCCATATTCCCACGGTGCATTTCATACAACTATTACTAGAACTTCTTTTCAGAAGGATTTATCTACCAATCAATATCCATCGTATTGCACCATTTCCAGAAACACTAAAGAGACTTCACTTCTCAATCAAGGCTTGACTAAGGTATGGTTTACTCTAACAGCTTTCAGATGTATAAAACAGATCAAAAAAAGTAAATCCTCTAGTTCTGTGATGTAACCACTTTTTGTGTGTGTATGTGTATATGTACACACACACACACACACACACACACACACACACACACACACACACACACACATTGTTGTTGAATACTGTCAAGTTGCAACAGACCCATAGCTGACCCGCCAGCAGGTTTTCAGAGGCAGTTAATCACACAGGAGGAGATTGCCCATCCTTCTCAGGTGGAGCAGCTGGTGGCCTGGAACTGGGAAAATTGAAACCTCTCAATTGTGTTTACAAATCAAAGCAAAGAATCTTAGCAATTTGAGGTCACTTTCTTCTATGAAAGAACATTTTAGGACATCAGTTATGACATGTGAAAAAATGACATGTGTAATCATTTTAAAAAATCAGTATTTTTGAAGTACCATCTTAGATGATAAATTCGTAAATATTGATTAAAGTTCATTATCAGTAATGAATACACCTGAGGTATTTCACTGCTTTTCTTAAACTTGGCGTTTTGGAATTAGACTAGGTAGTGAACTAAACTCTTTGCACAGATTTCTTTTAAAGCGACAGCTCTCACAGGTGATACATATTTTCTACTGCTGATTTACTGGTTACAGATTTACAGATAGGTAGTGACCTTTGTATCCCAATTGAAAACAAATTAAGCAAATATGGTAAGTCAGGTCTAAAAACACTGGGTTGTTTCCACTTAGGGATCTTTGACAAAGCCCTCCTCTCTGAGCCCTCCCACTTCATTCGCTTGCAAATCCCGGTGCCTGGAGAAGTCTTTACTCCCCCTCTGCAACCCCAAACCAGGAGCCCTGCAGCGCCATCAGAGGCAGTATCTTCCTATGTAAGAGACGCTCCTTATTAATCAGAAACGCTGAATGGAAACCAATCAGATAGAGAGTTCCTTTGGCTTCAGCTGCCTGCCTGTCTGAGTTAAAAGTGATGCTCCAAGAGGGAGGCATACTGAGATGCATGAAGATTCAGCTGTGAAGATACTATAAAAAGAGAAGAGAAGTGATGAGACCGAAGCAACACGAAATTGCCAGTACTGAGCAGGGCTAAAGTCAGTTTGATTACTAAGCAAGGTAAGTGCTGTTTACTTTGCTTCTTAATATGAGTGTTATCAATCTCTGCTTTCTTGTAATGAAGTCGTGTAAATATTGTTTCCCCCTCCTAGTTGTTATATCATTTATTTTCTCTCTCAATATTTGGGAGCAGGTAAGAATATATTTTGTAATATTTGTATAAAATACCACAATGCTCAGTGAACATAACTTGCAATGCTTGATTCTTATTTCACTTTTACAAAATGGATATATGTTCAATCGTTTTGTTTATGTCTAACATTCATAGTTGCACATTATAAAAATGACAACTAAACTTCAAATTGTATAAATTGTACTTGTCGGTTTTCATAACTCAGAGTTACTTACAGAGCAATGTGCGTGCACATCTTATTAGTGTATTAATTTGAAATGGGCTCTTACTTAGCTCATTAACCCCTGTTTAAAAATTTAGAGTCACACCTGTCAAAATGAAAGACATTTTACTCATAATCTGTTCAGAGAAGCTTTCTGTATTTTTATGGTTATGAAAAGAATAATGTGCATAATAAAAACTTCATAAATGAACATCACATGTGTGAATTATGATGTCACATTACATGATAGAAGAGGTTTCTTCACACACTTATGGTGTAACACAGGTCAACATTCTAATGTATGAATCTATTAGCTTTAATTGTTCTCTATTATCTCAGTGACTGTATCTTAATGAAGGTGCTTAGATCTGAAGGAGGGAGTATATGAAGGACAAAAAATGCCAGGATTTTTTTTTAAAGTGATAATGGGAAACAATTAATGTAGTTCTGCTTTTTATTCATTTGTCTCAATATAAATATTCATTATTATTTTATAATTACACTAATCTCACAATATGACATAATAAATTTGAGCCAAAATATTTCAAAATTCCACAATATTTATAGTTGGTATGAAAAGTCTGTATTCTCAGAATATGTTTTCTATAAAAAGAATTGGATAAAAGAAATTGATAACTTACAATAGGTAACTTTTACATAAGGATGCCATATGTTTGTACTTTTGTTTTAATATTTATGTTTTTTATTTTTTTTTAACCTGTGGCTACACAATACCCAGGTTTGTTGTTGTTTCTCTGTTTTGTTTTTGTGTTTGTGGTTTTCTAAAAAAATGTTTTTACTAAATCATGTATGCATAGAAATTAGAATTTTCCCCACTAAGTTCTTAAATCTAGAAATCATATCAATGAAATAATGTGGATAATTACAAGTGTCATAACTTTTGAATGACACATTTGATTCTGTTTGCTATAGAATGAAAAGTGTTTCACCAGCAAATATGAATAATTTGGCCATTCACTGTTCTTAACTTGGAAAAAAAAAGCCAAACGTGTGCTAGAGAAATGCTTTGCATTTAATAGAGGTTATTTACAGCATCAGGCACTGTTTCAATATCTAGTAATGCTGTGTCAACTGGGAAGTTATTTGCACAACTTAAGAAACTGGTTGATCCAGAGTTGCACTGCAGATATTTTGAAGAAAAATAATATGAAGTAGCATATATTCCAGAGTACAGAGGCAAGGAATTGGGATCTATCATGGATTTATAGACTTGTTATCAAATGCAGTGTGAGTTCAACTAAGTTTTCTCAAATGTTCAGCTCACAAAAGATTATATGCACTTAATATACTACTAATAATATACTGGTTGAGAAGATATTGTCCTTATGTATTTTGTAGATGTACTGTAAATGTTCTGAGCAAAATTAATTACTGAAAAAAAATGAACATACAATGCTTTTAATCGCAATTTTAATCAAAGAAGTTTTAAGATAAATCCAAATTGAAATATTATTACATTGAAAGATTTATTTTTGTGAAGCCTAAATAGATGGTAGGAATCAAAATTGCTATAGTTGATCTCTTTTGATATTCAGACCCTAAGAAGTAATTCTTTGTAGCATGGAAAGTGACTTTATAGGATTTGCTACTCTGAAAATATATATGTCCAAAAGATGATTTGCTTTTTTTAATTCCTTCCTGGCTTGGTACATGCTAATAATTTTTTAAAGAGTAGGTAAAGTAATACTAATTTTTAAATGAAACACTTTTAAAAATTTTCTTTAAAAGGAGATAGTTTAAATTAATAAGAAAATTCACCAATAACTTTAAGCCAAGGGAGAATAAAATATAGTCATATATGCTTAACTTAAAGATTGACTTACAAAATAATGTTTTTTATATGATGGAAATATTTATTTTTTCCTCTTTAGTATACTATTTTATGGTTGTTTTGTTTAGTAATCTGAAATGTTTACATATTAGAACATCATTCTTTCATTTACTGGATAACTAAATTATAAATTTCCTTACATATGTGCAAGATTTTTTTATATATTAATAATACTAAAGTTTACTTAGAATATATGTTATTAAATGTTTAGTCTCTTGACTCAATCTAGTGTATGTTGCTGGATGAGAAGCCCTTTTAAATGTTATTTTGCATGAGGATATCTCATTTGCCATTTCTGAAACCATAAACATAGAAATCTTAATCAATGCAATATTCCTTCCATGGCATATTCACCAAGTCAAAAAAAGTTTCAAAAGAAATATTAAATAATAATTATAATTATTAATTTTATTATTATTATTATTACCCAAATAGCTTATTTCTCTTCAGGTATCAATAATGATAATAGAAGAACCATGCTTCCTGTCCAGAATATTTTGTATTTCATGGCGAGATTATTCAGAATGATTTGGATAATGCCTAAAATTATATAACCAAATTATGTGAGTAAGTGGCAATACATGAAGTATATGAAAGTATAATTCAAGTTCAAATATGATATAAAAAATACATGTAAATATATGCAAATGATGGTTGGCACCTACTGGCTATTTATAAAATTAAACATTCTATATTGAAAATTGTTTAACGTGCAGGTGTTCAAAGCTTGCTTTATAATAGTTCTAGTTTTTGTACACTCAAACATATATTTAAAATATAAATTATAAGGGAATCATAACTTTGAAAAAACAAAATATTAAAAAAAATTCAATGATAGTTGTTAAGTGTTTATGTTCTTCCTTCAAGTGTCTGTGTATGCATGTATATTTTTTATATACATGTATATGTAATATTAGACTACTAGAAATTTTCATTTACCACATATTTGGCCTGTGGTGAGATTTTCTAGAATACAACTCTACTTAGGTCTTAGCTATTTTTACATATCACATCTCAAATTAATAAAAATTATATTTTCCTAAGAAAGAAGAAAATATGCTAAATTGGATGAAAAGGCCAAGTTGAAAATTAATTTTGTTTGCACCACACCAATCCTCATTTATAAATATCATCATTAGTATTCTTACACAAAAGATGCATTCTAAGATAAAGCACTCTCTTTTTATCTTATTTATTTTCAGCAACAAATTGCCTAAGAAAATATATCTTATTCTAATCTTATTTGTAACTCCATTTTACTCAGGTATTTGTGTAAAAATCCACGAATTTTATAATGACTTTTTAAGCAGGTCAATTCCAATTTTACAGATGTGAAGACTGAGGTTTCATAAGCATAGGTTACATATCTAGGGATATGCATTTCCTGTATATGTAAGAACAGCAGCATAATGTGGCAGAAGATCATGTTGAGTTAGATAGTATAGAAGTATGTGCATGTTAGCACATATGTCTGTACATGCGTCTGGTGCACTTTATCTTTTGCTTGTGCCTTTGCATATTATGTGTATGTATTTATAAATATAAAATACAGAGTGATTAGTAGAACACAATGTTTTCTTAAGTTCTTTTACTATAACTTTTTTTTTATGAGTGTAGCAAAAATTTAGTGAAAAAAACCAACCTATGGATATATAGGACTTTTTAAAATACAATTCTTAATTTCTTTGATTATCCTACAGAAAGTTATGTTCTCTTATGAGTGAATTCAACTATCTCTGGCTGGCATCCCAATTATCTACCTCATGAAAACATCATGAAGCAAGTGCAGTGAGGAGCACTCTCTAGCACGTTCATATATTTCTATAGTAGTCTTAACATATTAATGCACTTATGCCTAAATTGAGCACTAAATTTAAGGTATGGTCATATTGCCACATTAAGAATGCAAAATGCGTGAGTGAGAACAGAATCTCTGGAGCCAAACAGAGCTTTTACATATTAACTCTACCAAGAAACTCATCCTAAAGACATAAAAGTCATGATAATGGTGTTCACTAGCCGTGAACAGAAATGAAAAGGTCTCTGGATTGTTGTTGGTTTGTTTCTAGAAGTACAGGAGAAATATTCATGATTCTCTCCCTCCTTTTTTCTCTCAGCCCATTAATCTCACAAATTATAAATCAACTGAACAAGTAACAAGTGCACTTATAGCCTCTGCATCTTCTTATGACCAAGCAAGATAATTCTTGGTCTTTCTATTAATCGATGAAACACTAGAGCATATTATATTTTTATAGGTATAGATTAAAATTGCTATGACCCTCATAACAACTTTTGAAAGGAGATCTATGGGTCTGTAAAGTTTGGATGACTTTATTTTATAATTTATCTCAAGTACTAATTGATCTACTGGAAAAAGGACGCTAATGTATTAAAAACTAACAGTTATTTGATTATGGAGTTTGCAAGTTTATTACCATCTTAAAGATATTGGAAGAAATAGAACTGACAAATACAATTTCAGAAGAGAATAATTTCTATACATTTTACATATAATTTCAAAGGTATCCATCATGTGTAAAGAGATTGACTTCATATTTAGTAAAGGAAGATCTTAGCAAAACCATACAAAACAACTTTCTTGGTAGGGTGTCAGAAGAACAGGAAAAAAAAATAATGATGCATCTAACAATGTCTATTACTGGCAAGTGAATAAGAGCAATTCAATCTTTGGAGAGAAGAATACATTATTTGAAATATACTACTTTTGTAAAACAATATCATCCGTTCCAGAAATTCTCTAATGGAACCTTTTCTGAAATTGTTACACTGTATTGTTATATTTTGTTTTT